TTTTTGAATTTTATCCCCCGAAAGGTCCGTTGAATTCAAGATAGTGATACCACTGAATAAGGACAAAGGTTAGTGGGCAGATGGGAAATTTGTGCAGCACTGTAGGAGGATTCTACTCCAAGTGTACAAACTTGCCAGTAAAATTATTGAAGGGGTATTTTCGTACATATTAATGTAGTAGAGCTGGCATGCAAATATGTAAACAAAAATTTAAATGAAATAAACAAATTGTAAAACCTAATTAATTAAAGACAAAAATACTCAAAATGATTTGAAATGTAAGAAAGTAATTACAATTTATTGTTAAGCCCCCGTTTGTTTCCCATTTCCTGTCAACAAAAATGAATATTTGTAACTTTTTTTTCAATCTTTTTGGAGACATTGTGAGAGAAAATTGTCAAATAAAAAAAAAAAAAAACGGCTGCACCTATTTGTAACCGTAGAAAAATGCATTAAAATGAGATGAAAATTGGAAACAAACATAATCTAAGTATTATTTACTTAGTCATCATTTTTTTTATCTATTTATAAACATATTTCAAACATCTGTATATCTTTTTAGTAAACGACTCTATTTTTAATCATATTTTTCTTGACATTTTTAATTTAGATAACGGAAAGTTCTGTTCACCAACTCCACCCCACCCCACCCCACCCCACAGGTCCATTTATGTTGAAATGTTGCTGCCTGAATTGCCTAACTTGCTTTCTACAATTTTCTTTCATTTTACTTTCTTAACCCCTAATTCTTCTCTCTCTCTCTCTACATATATATCTATACATAGACACATTCACTGTGATTAATCCACAAGACAAGACTGATTCTTTTGAGCAGGCAGCAAAATTGTCAAGTAAACATTCAAAGTGTAATCTATGGGGAGTTTCGAAGTTGAGAGAAAAACAAGAGGATTGGCAGCCACAAACCCTTCTGGGATTCTCTCACCTTATACATACACTCTCAGGTTCAAATTCATATATATATATATATATGCATGTATATCAATTATCAAGTATATATGTGTGATTTGTTCTTTTCTTAATCTAATTATTCTGTGTTTGGAACTGGTTCGTTGACAGGAGCACAGGCCCTGAAGATGTATTTGTGAAAGTGATTTGCTGTGGGATTTGCCATACTGATATTCATCAAGTCAAAAATCATCTTGGCATGTCCAATTATCCCATGGTTCCAGGGTACCTCTCTCTCTCTCTCTCTCTCTGTGCTACATTCTTGACTTGTATATATAAGTAGAATTATTCTAGCATTTAAAACCCTTTCATATGATAGTGGGATCATTACCACATTAAGGAGTCATTAATATAAATGAGATCAAGTCTTTTTTTTTTTTTTTAGCAAATTTTGATAAAAGTTGATGAAATGTATGGTTGAAAATGTGAAAAATATTGCCAGCCTCATGAAAATTAATAGTTTTAGCTATAAACCAAACTGAGGCTAAGGGCATGTATGGGAAAGCTTTTCATAAAATTTTTAGCAGATTTTGATAATAGTCTACGAAATATTTTACTAAAACTGATGCTTAACATTATTCCTATCAATAATTATGGAATAATGCTATTTATTATCGACTGTGACAGTGATTATCAAGGTAATAGTGTGATTCTCGATTTATTGTGCAATTGAATTGTGATGCATTCTACTAGTAGACAAAGAGAATAACACACAACTTTGAATTTCGAAATAAAATGATGCCACAGATTATCTTGCAAAACAGATAAGCATGGGACCAAGCTAAAAATTTAAACAACTTAGTGCAATTCTGACCACATTATTCTGTTTTATTCCTATATTCATCTGGATGTCACAATACCAACAACTTTAGTAATCATTAGAGACATAAATATACGTCCAACCTTAATTTTATTTATTTCTCATTTATTGCCAAATTAAATAATAATTTTAATTTTTGTGCTGCCATACACAGTCATGAGGTGGTAGGTGAGGTTGTAGAGGTGGGATCCGGTGTGACCAAGTTCACGGCCGGAGATATAGTCGGAGTTGGCTGTATCGTCGGATGCTGTGGAAATTGTCAGCCGTGCAAATCGGACATTGAACAATACTGCAACAAGAAGATTTGGTCCTACAATGATGTCTACACTGATGGAAATCCCACTCAAGGGGGATTTGCTGATGCAATGGTGGTTAATCAAAAGTAAGCATCGACACAACCTATTCATACAAGAATTTTTTCGTATTGGAAGTAAATCGAGTCAAACCTAACTAGTTAGGTATATCGATATCTATTAATCAACATTTGGTAGTGTAAAAATGAGTCGAGCCATTCAATCTAGTCAAGCCAACGAAAAGTTTCAATGCTAAATGCTAAACCCTTTAAACTTAGCAATATATATGGCCCAAATGTTAAAATAATAAGTCCATTTGACACGATTCTTAGAAAAAATGATTTTGTCTAATTAATTTGACTTCAATGGCGGTCCCAACCTTGGTCCTAGTCCTACCCACTTTTGGATGGGCCTATGGGACAAGAGGGATAGCATAGAAATATGGCCTACCACAACATCCTGACCAATCGAGGCCTCTTTGTAATCAAGTCAGTTCGATCCACTTTGACACCTCTACGTTTTAAATGTTAAGAAACAAAATGAAACGACTTTCACGAAGTTGACGTGTTTGATTAATGTTGTTTACTTTTACAGCTTCGTGGTAAAAATTCCAGAGGGTATGGCGGCAGAACAGGCGGCGCCACTACTTTGCGCCGGGGTGACAGTATACAGCCCATTAAATCATTTTGGGCTAAAAAAGAGTGGGCTAAGAGGGGGCATTTTAGGGCTTGGAGGGGTTGGACATATGGGAGTCAAAATTGCAAAGGCTATGGGCCACCATGTTACTGTAATAAGCTCTTCAATGAAGAAAAAAGAGGAGGCATTGGACCATCTTGGGGCTGATGATTACCTGGTCAGCTCGGATTCAACTCGGATGCAAGAACTGGTTGACTCGCTAGATTACATAATTGACACAATCCCAGTTTTTCATCCTTTGGTGCCTTACCTTTCTCTGTTGAAAGTTGATGGAAAGTTGATATTGATGGGCGTTATCAATACTCCTTTGGAGTTCCTCACCCCGTTAGTCATGCTCGGTTAGTACTCGCTTCTTTTGTCTATATAACAAACTTAGAAGTCTTTTTTTCGTAAACGAATTTGAAATCTATCGAGACACGTAGATTGAGTTGTATGTTACCGGCATACCCAAGTTTGGACCATAAGAAAGACAAGTTTCTTCTATCGACACCTTACCTAGTTCTTGTTTTACATTGGTGATAAATGTTGACTAGCAGACAACGAAGTATAATTATCACATGGGACCATCATTTTAGTCCTCTCAATATATTATAACATGGTTGTTACTTGTTGGGGAGGGGTGAAGGGATTTGATAGAGTTTTTGAAAAATCAAATACTTTTGAAACTAAGTAGCTATTATGGTACGTATTTTGATAATTTTCTGAAAGCATTTCTTCTGATTAGAAAAGCTTTTAGAAAAATTTGGACTAAACTAAATTACTCATGAAACTCTTCTACAAAAAATAAAAATAGAAGTAAAAGTAAAAGTAAAAGCAAAAGCAAAAGTCATGTCAAAATGACCACTTAGTCATCTTTATTTAGTTGTTAACAATTCCGTATTGCATTATAACTTGTAGAAGTATTGTTTTCTTTATGACTACAAATATTTCTTTTACGAGTTTCTAATATGGTTGTCCTATAATATGAACGGTTGTAGGTCGAAAAAGTATCACGGGAAGCTTTGTTGGTAGCATAAAGGAGACAGAGGAAATGCTTGAATTCTGCAAGGAGAAGGACATTACTTCAACTATTGAAGTTGTCAAAATGGATTATATCAACACTGCCTTCGAAAGGTTGGAAAAGAACGATGTGAGGTACAGGTTTGTCGTCGATGTTGCCGGCTCCAAACTAGATCATTAAAATCGTCATCTACACTATGCAACTCCAAATTCGCTTATCTTGAAGTTATGAACTATATATAATATATACGAGTGCTCTTTCTTTCGGATGTTTTTAAGCTCAAGCCAGTGTAATATGTCATTTATCTTCGTTGACGACAATGATATTTGACTTTATTTTGTCACCTTTTTTATGTTACAATGTGTTGCACCCAAAACTATTAAGGGCTTGTTTGAGCTGGATTAAAATCTGATTTTAATTTAAATCAAAGTCAAACGATTAATATTAACCACATCTTTTACGAGTCTCACATCTTTTCAACCACACATTTCAAAAACTTCTATCACAATTCACTAAAAATTTAATTTTAATTCTCACCAAACACCCTCTGAAAGTGTGACCAATAAGTGACTCTAAATTCAAGGAATCAATAACATTTTGTTATGCCCTTGTTTGACAACCATTTTATTGAAGAATTTGATTTGGAATAGTGATTGATAGAAGAATGTGTGGTTAAAAAGTAAGGGAAATTTTTGAATTTATATGTAATATTATTTTATTGATAGAATGTGTGGTTGAAATGAAGAAAGAGAAAAAAATGAAAATGAGAAAAAAAATGGATGTCAAACAAGAGCTATTATGTTCATCTTAAAAGATCGAACTTGTTAAAATAATAATAATAAAAAAAAAAAAGGACCCTCTAATGAGGAAAGGCAAACATGGTTTCATTTTTTAGTATTCCTGGCAGAATTACATCATAAGTGATGATTAATAGCACTATATGCAAGCTCATTGTCCAATGAATAAAAACGCATCTCAATTTCATTGAATAATACAACGATAACTCCAATTCCATTGAACAACGTAGCAATAATGGAAGCCAGCCCCACAACCCAAAGCAGCGAAAAACAACTAGAATTTGGTATTATTCTTCCAGTTTGTACCAATATGTGAAGCGTACTCAAGTTGGAAACATGAGTAATGAGAGAACGAATCAAGATCAGTATTTCATACAGAACACGATTTTACACGTTGAGAAATCCTGGCAATTGACAATTTTCATTTATCATCGACGTTGATGAACAAACAATCAAGAGAACAATTTTTTTTCCTTGTAACATGTCACTTAATATTTGGGTTTGGCAAACGAGAATTAAGACATGCAATGGTTGTAATAATGACTCCGTCAATCAAAATTCTCTGTTCGAAGAAAACCCTCCAAAACCCCTCCACTCAATTACAAATTTTCAGCCGCGAAAAGACCTAATCAGACTTATTGAAGTTTCCCCATGGCACGACCATCTACCTTGCGCGTAAAAGAGAACCTGCAAACGAGCTCATTCAAGTATACATGTGTTTAGAGTATCTTACTGGATCTCCTTTGTGTCATGTTAAGTCTGAAGGATTAGCTATATCTAAAGCAATCGACTAAAGTAGGCATTCATGAAATATCAAAATGGATTGAAGCCACACAAAATCCTACCTGTTTTAATCAGTAAGACAATAATCACTGAAAACGAGGCATATAATAAGTGCATATTAATAAATGTAAAGGCAAGTCAAATAATTAAAATTTATCTTACCATCATAGCCTAAAAAATTGAGGTAATGATAGTAGGAAACAGCCACCATGAAGAGCAAATTTGATAACAATTCAGGAATGAAACCATGAGCTACCAGAAGAGGTGATAGAAAATAATGCACAACTGCCAGAAAATGAAGACATCAGCAGCATTTCGGCATGTATTTAGACTGAACTCCAATAAGATAACTAGTTTCATGTCATACTAACCGAAAAGCAACACAAACATTGGGAAGAAAGAGTTGCAATGTACATCAAAGGCATACAACCTTCAGAACATAGGTGAAGAACAAGTTAGCAAAGAAACACCAGTTATAATAGTAAATTCCTGAAACGGATCTACAGTGTGATTTTCCCAACAAGTGCAAAAAAACTCCATTAATCATAAACAAGGAGAATGTCAAATAATACGCAGATGTCAGAAAGAGGAGGGAAAAACTGAGGACTTGCCACTCTACCCTTTGCTCTACCACATGGCTATTTGGAGCTTCTTCTCGAAGAAAATTGTTTGTAAAGAACCTGCATAAAGTTTGCTAAATGAGTTTCCATTTAGCAAACTTAAGTAACATGAAGCGCAATCCCCAAACAATAAAGGCAAGGTTTTCACATTAAAGAGTCACTTTTATAGCTGTTACAATTATCCCAGATCTCCACTAAAACGAAAGAATTTATTTCCCCTTTCAATTACTTTCCTCTTAATTCTGCAGTCCCATAAACTTCCGAGGACGGCACTACCAGATCAACAAGTTTAAATAACTAGACATGAGAACAAATCCAAATGGCCCCCAAGCTTTTGAAGGTTTTATTTGCAAATCGAATATGTTTGACAAGTTCATGTCTGAAAGCACCTCATGTTGATCCATAATCAAATTCATAGGACAAATTTCATTGCTGGTCTTAGTGAAAAGATAGAAAATAATGAACTTTCCAAGACCAATTCAATTTGAGACCCTGGGGAAGAAATTCAGCAATTTTATACCTAAAACTGAAATTTATTATTTTGAGAAGTGTACGCTCAGAAAAATCAGTTATTTACTTCTTCCACAATGTTTTTAGATAAGGGAAAATCACTCATTAGAATTACAAATAATTGCAGTATGACCATTGCTTCCTGCATCATATTAATTCCCCTTCTTACTATCCACCCAACTCAAATCATAGAACAGCACTTCTTATGGAGTCTACAGTCCAATTATGCATCAAACGACCTACACGTGTAGAGTATTTCTACATTTCAATATGAATGTCCTAGGCTCCCATAGAAGAAACCTTACCACTGGGAGTTTGGGACAAGGCTTACCCTTAGGGGTGTCCAAAAGTCCCGAACCGACCCGAAACGAATCGAATCGAGCGGTTCTTCATAAATTAAATACCCGAACGGGTATCCGAATCGAGAACCGATGGATTTGGGTCGCATCTCGGGTCTAGACCAAGAACCGAATAAGAACCGAAACTAAATANGGTCTTAGTGAAAAGATAGAAAATAATGAACTTTCCAAGACTAATTCAATTTGAGACCTTGGGGAAGAAATTCAGCAATTTTATACCTAAAACTGAAATTTATTATTTAGAGAAGTGTACGCTCAGAAAAATCAGTTTTTTACTTCTTCCACAATGTTTTTAGATAAGGGAAAATCACTCATTAGAATTACAAATAATTCCAGTATGACCATTGCTTCCTGCATCATATTAATTCCCCTTCTTACTATCCACCCAACTCAAATCATAGAACAGCACTTCTTATGGAGTCTACAGTCCAATTATGCATCGAACGACCTACACGTGTAGAGTATTTCTACATTCAATATGAATGTCCTAGGCTCCCAGAGAAGAAACCTTACCACTGGGAGTTTGGGACAAGGCTTACCCTCATTTTTACTTCTAATAAAATGATATACTTGACTTGAATTGTCACGTAAATAAACAAGAAGTTTGGCGTAGTGAAGAAGGATAAATTGTGCTTCTAATTTGAATTCGAATGCACACGTCATAAAATTATTGCAAGACTACAGTTTCACAAATTAAAACTTAAAACAAACCGAGAGAGGTAACTTGGGTACTTGAAATTGTAAGTATTAACCTATTAATACATTCAGTCCTTACCAACAAAATGCAGCCAAAACTGCCCCAGTTATTAGGAAATGGAAAAGCAGTACTGAAATAACTACAGAAACAGCATGTCTCACACTATGATCATACCTGAAACAAATGACAGATGGCACATCGTTGGACAGATCAGCATTAATGAGCAAGTACAATAATATATGAAAGGAAATATTTGAAAAAGTTAGAAGGACAATGACATGGAAGCTTTTCTGAGAAAATTTTCAAATGTTAAAAAACCAAAAACGACTTTGCAAGTATCACAACTAAGAATTGACTAATAAATATTCTTTAATTATTCAACATTACCCAAAGAAACCTCCTACAAGTCTTATCAATAACAAAATCCTTAAATCCGCCATAGAAAGTAAGCTCACAGACACTCACGCAGCACAATAAGCTATTGTAGAAACTGCCAAAAGAAGACTGCATATCACAACAAAAGCGGGATCATCACGTGCCCATTGGTTCTTTGTTTCTGCAACAAAGAAACAAGAAGAAAAAAACTATGAATGACGCTATTACAAACTGTCAAATTTATCCAATTGTTTGTTCCCTATCATAATTTAGATTGAATCAAACTAAGTGGAGGTCATAAAAGAAGTAAAGAATGGATTATGAAACCAACCAACCAGAAAATTCACCAATCATGCAATATACTTGAAGCATAATATGAAAAGTGTAAACTCGCATAACATAGAAATGGTTCAGTGTCAGCCAAAACATCAGACTACAAAGAAGATAAGTTCATATATTCCCACAAAACGGAAAGGTCTAATATAAATATGTGCTCAGGCTAAAGCTACTGCGATCACATCAAGAAAAGTAACCAAAGAATTGTTCCAGTTATAGACTACTAAGCAGAACAAGTCTTCAAGATTATTTTGTTCACAATCTATGGTGGCATTAATCCAGAGTCATGTCAAGTTAATCAAATATAGATAGAAAACGTAATGATTATAATGTTGAATGAACGAGAATTCTTTAAAAAATTTTGACTTATTAGTGCTCAAATATGACAAGACCAAGATACACAGCATAGTAAATAGAGTCCTCAACTTAAAAAGATGGCAACATATTGATTTGCACCCAAGTAGTTAGCTAGACTAAAAGAAGTAAAAGTAAAGAACACTTACGTTTATGACACTTTGTGTGTTGATATCTGCATCCACTTTATAGTACATGCGACATGAAGAGATTTCACCAGAAACGCAAAAACATCCAAAAGAACTGATCAGGATAACTATTTCTTATTTTATGTACCCCAGATTAGCAAAATTTGTACCGTATCTTTAAACTGTGTTTGGAAAATACCCCTCTTGCAGTATAATATTATAACATCGAGGTTCATCCTACACTAAAAAGAGAAAATATCAACATTGAACAAACAAAACGTAGAAAAGGAACAATATGCAATTGAAATCTGTCTCTTTTTCCATCTCCAATCATAAAAATGATATAGAGAATCTTGTAGAAGGCAAAAAACTTCTGCTTCTCTTGTTTGGATTGAAACGTGTTCGATAATGGAACGAGTTTGTCCAATCTATAGACAAGACTTCCGAGTCCCCTTTTCCATTTACTATCAGGTTGCAGGATCTAACATAGGCACATATAGTTTTGCACAAGACCGATCCATGATGTCATTAAACAACTAGGAACATGAGAACAGCTACAATCATGCAGTTAGAGTAAAACCACATTGATGCTAGAATAATCATGAATCAATCCATGTTTTCAACTAATAATGTAATTCACCCCAAATATTACTAACTACTCTATGATCATAATTGAATACTCAAGAATTTATGATCAGGTATGAACGAGAGAACGGTAACCATCTCGAGTTATGATCAAATTACATCATGCTAGAATATTCAAGAACCAATCCAAGTTTCAGCTATTGAAATTCCCTCCAAATAGTATGGTAATGCTCTCTGATCATAATAGAGCACTCAAGAATTTATGGTAAATGGGATACCAAAAGTGGCCACTTGAAAAGGGCCATTGTCGAAAATCAAATCTCCATTGATTGAGTCACAGATAAAGCTTTGGACTTTTTCTCTTTTGCTTTCTTTTTTACAGTTTTCATGTCCTTCCTTTTAGGTTTCTCATCCATGGCAGGTTGTGTATTCTGCAAATGTTGATAGATGGCACCCAATGGATCTGATTGGAAAGTAGGATGGTTAATGACTATCTTCAACTGATTGCTCTCCTTCAACCTATAATGAATAAAATAGGAACAATTCACAACATAGTGAGGAAAAAATGGCAATATTTAATTGTCTCAAATACTTACACTAGATTATTTCTGGTTTTATTGTTAAGTTTAAATTCGGCAGGTCTTGATTCTTTGGGAGCCTTCAGTTCCGGAAGGAAATCTGAGAGGGAAGAAAGATCATATGCCTTCAGTTTCTTTTGTCGGCTCCTTTTATGTTGCTTCTTCTCCTGGTAGGACAACAGTAACTTCCTCAGAAGACAAGATAAACAAATAACTTTTCCTAAAATGAAACTGCCAGCCATTATAAGAAATCACTACACAAGAAGTAGAGCTCGATCGTGATACGTGTATTCTCAAATAATGACTTAATCATCATGGGCACCAAGCCTTCAATTTCTCATATTTTCCTCATATTCAAGCTCTGATTCAAAACTTATTATCTAATGAGGCATAAAATTTTCTAAGCAAACCCCAAGAACTCGTTTTTCTAAATGAGGACATTACATTGTTTGTATGGAAAAGTGAAAACAGGAAAAAGATTCATACCTTAGTAATGGATTTTTGAGCAACAGCATTTCTGATAACTACAAAAAGCAATAATCCACATGAAGAATTTTAGATTTAAAGCTGAACATAATTTTACCAAAAATATAAATAAATTAAAAAACTCTACATTTTTCTAATTCTACATTAATGCACAAAAAGCATTGGAAATTATGCATACATTTCGCAAGTCTAGGATTCAGGAACCAAACACGTAAAATTACGAAATTGATTTTTCGTTATTTAAGCGGAAAAATTATACCAATTAGCTCAATGAAATAATAGACAAGTACGCTCTTACTTTCATAAAATTGAACTTTTTTGTCGAACTTGCGATCTGCACGAGTCTTTAGATCTCCATCTGATATGAAACTAACAACACATAAAACTAAATTAAATACAAGAAATATATTCGCACACGAAAAAATTGTTGAAGGAATCTTACCATGATCTAGTCTTCCCCATTGGTGAACTTTTAAAAACTGAATGTCGAATTAAAATCAAAGCTTTTATGAAGACAATTGCATTAGGGTCTATGGTTTGTGGCGAGGGAAAAATTGAATCAGCCAGCAGGTTTTTATTTACAAGTTAAGAATTCCAAATTTGGTCCAATATAAGCTTCCACGTCCACATATTAATGGGCTTTTTGTCCAACTAATTTGGGCTAGCCCAAGTTTAGCTGATCCAAAAAGAAAGCTCGCACCACGTGTCATCTTTTCATCCCTCTCTCCCTCCGCCGGAATCGCATTTGTTCCGGACCTCCGATCAATACCAGATTTCAAAGAAGTCCGCCATAATTCTCGGATCAACCAGCTTTCCCCTTCAAGAACCACTCATGTCTCCATTCCCCTTTCCACTCCTCGTTATCTTAGAACCAATCGAGAAAGGATGAGGAAGAGCTCCACCTCGATGCGGATGTTGTGGTGGGTGGCGCGGTGCGTCGCACTCCTCCTCCTCACCCCCGCCGCTGCGGTAGCGGGAGAGGTCATTAACCTCGCCCAAGGTGAAACGTACGGCTACAACAAAATCTACGACATCACCAGCAAGATCGCCGGTCGCCTGACAATTTGGGACAATAAAGATGGCTTGGCAGAAGAGAAGTTGCGATTCATCGACACCAATGGCGAAATGGTGTACAGATTCTCCACTCACCTGGGGACCCACTCCGATGCCCCCGCTCATGTATTTACGAACATGTCGACCTACGATGCCAACTCACTTAATCTCGAAACTCTCAACGGTACACTTTCGCTACTGGAGAATTCGATCAATTTATCAAAGTGAAAGATCAAAATATACCTTATTACTTACTGACATTGTTGATTAATGTGTATAAACAGGTCTGGCTTTGGTGATGGATGCTCCTAGGAACAAGAACTTAACTGGTATATTTATTGGCAGTCTATAAATATTAATTAGGATCTCTGATTTCTTCATTTTTTCTTGAAATTTCAATTGCTATGATTTAATAATAGATTTTTTTTTTTTATTAAGATTTCCTAATTGGGCAGTCCAATATTTAATTCATTTATAACCTCTGTTTGGGAAACTTCTACTATCCAGTCAAATCAAGTTTTAATTTCAAGCACACATTCAAACTATTACTCTTTATTATTCACACGAGAAGAATTCAAAAGGTAGCAAACTTGAAGAGAAGAATTCATGAATTTAATTGGTTGAAATGATTCTTCCTAATCACCGTCGAATCTGTGATTCCTTGCATCAATCAGCTAAATTCTGATGCTGGATTCCAGAAGCAACATTTTCACTGGAAGGTTTTGTGCACAAAATATTTATACATCCCTGAAACTACTACCATGACAATTTTTTATGCCTATATATAATCAAATTAAAACGGTAACATTTGCATTAAATGCAACCGTGTCATGTGTGAATATGCTGATGCATTCGGATATTGCACTTGTAACTCAAAGAAGCAGTTTTATGACTTTCTTAATTTTTCTCAGAGCGTTATGCACTCTATTCTTAGAGGAACCTATTCATGCTTCTTGCTTATTTCAGCTGAAGTTCTGAAGTCCATGAACATTCCTAAAGGAGTCAAACGCCTGCTTATAAGGACCGAGAACACTCACAGGTAAAAATAGATCTTCATGCTTAAATTTAGCATTTGACTAATCTAACGTCCGGTTAGAATGCATTTTTCATTGACATTTGGTGTTGAGGTGAGGAATTATGACTTAGGCTGTTCAAAACCCTTTGCATATGGTGACCACCGCAACTTCTATAGTCTAACTGAATTATGGTGTCTGCGTGTTTATTTTATCCTTGTTGACAAGTCTGGTTCTCAGATTGAATAATTTGATCAAATGTCTATTTGAGATTATCCGTGTCTTTCTCAAAAACTGATATATGTATGTTTCATTTCACTGGTCTTCGATTAACTGTTGGATATTGCAGACAGTGATAGAAAAAAGATGATATTTTTGTGTTACTTTTCACTCGTCAATTCTTAATCAGCTATATCTAGGAGAAAAAGAGGAACTTGTGCTTATGTATTATGTTACATACACATTTTTCATTGTAACTTGTATCTTTTTGTGGTTGGAGTTGTCAACATGCACGAAATGGAAGAAGCCAATGGCAGGTGTCTCTTTTCCTCGTTGACTAACAAGATGTGCGGACCTTTATGTTCACTTTCTTGATCAAGATTCTCATATTTCAACATGAATCCTTATCCGAATTGCCAAAACATACTGAGGTTTGCTCTTTCAGAGCACGTCATTTGATGTAAATTGGTTACATTTCAGGAGTCTGATGCTTCAAATAGCTTTCGCATATGACTATGTTGGACTCAAAACGGATGGGGCAGAGTGGTTGGTGGAAAATACTGATATCAAACTTATTGGTAAGATAAATACTATTTTCTCTACTTCTGTATTGGGTGGCAAGGCACAAGTTTTTAAGCTTGGGGCACACCTCGCTAATTTATATGAAATCGTTTATATTGCTGTATTTGTTTGCTCTTAATTGTAGGAATGGATTATCTGTCTGTTTCTGTAGATGCAGATGGAGAGCAGGTTCATCAGATTTTGTTGAAAACAGGGGTAAGATTTATATCTTCTTGAATATTTCGATTTTATGGAATATTCCCATATCTTCGCTCGTCCTCTTGTAAAAAGGGGAAAAAGGAACACAAAAAGAAACTGATGCTGCAGAATTTAAACCTTTGCGGTTTCAATTAATCAAACTACTCTCACTACTCTGTTGGCATGTGTAACTCAAATTTGTGAATCATTCCCTTGTTCCATTTCCAGAGATGATTCATAGGCAGTGTATCGATCTCTTCAATAGTTGATTTTACAGATTAATGCGATTTCAATATTAAATTTGTGAAGCGTCTTTCTATTCCCTTCAAAAAGTATATGGACTGAATTCGTTTAATTGCTTTAGAATTTGATTCCTGTGGAGGGCTTGGTACTTAATGATGTTAGTCCAGGAGAATACATGCTTCATTGCGCGCCTTTAAGGATCCCTTTGGCCGATGGATCACCCTCAAGATGCATCCTTATGCAGTGATCACTCTATGCGTGTTTAATGTAGCTCGTAAATGTATAATTCATTCTGTAAGTTTCTGTAGCTATATAATCAATGGGCAATGTGTCTATGTGAACATGAATAATCATGAATGGAATCCAAGATGCGAATCCGGGGTCTTACTGTATTGATTCCTGAAGTGAATTTACTGTGAATTCCTGAATGTCAATATGGATTACCTTTTTCAACTTTTACTGGCAACCAATTTTATTTTTCTTGTTTAATATAACTCATTACATAACTAGCTATTAATGTTTATGGTATAAATGATGTCGTTCATGAATATGATAAAGTAAAAATGGCAATAATGCTACCTATCCTAATAGTGTAGTTCTACGGAACGAACAAACATTTACAAGTATCAATTTGTTCTTTGAATACGTTACACTTGTAAGCCTTCTTATTGTCAATCATTACTCACATCGAATCTCGACTGGATCAATAAACTTAGGTTTAGTTTCAAAAAGCTTTGATTTGTCACGTTTCTTACCTATCATCTCTCAAACCAGATGAATAATTATGACAATATATTTACTCTGAAAGATCAAAATGCGTTTATTTTTTAAACACTATGATAACATCGTATAGTGGTGATTTATCACGACACGTAGTGATTATGTGGAAAATCTGCTGTTGTTAGGCTATCAATTAAGAGATTTTCATCAATTTGGGAGATGACATGTGATAAAATGATGAAATTTGAAACTAAATTAAATTTAGTGATTCAGTTGAAACTAAATTGAAGTTGAATGACTTTGCTGAAACAAATTAAAGTTTAATAATTTAGTTCATATTTTGCTAAAAGTTCAATTACGGCTATGAAATTTACCCAAGTAACAGGCATTATTTCGTATATATTTTTGAATAGGACATTGTTTTTCATGTATGCAATGCAATCATCTCTTTAATTATAATTAGGGGTAGTTAAAATCCGATCGAACCCACTAAAATCGTCCAAATCGAACCAATCGATCAGGTTGGGTCGATTTTTTGTTGTTGTTTTTACATGAGTTGGGTGGATTGGCTGTGTTGATGGATTAGGTTGAGTTAGGTTATCGGTTAACTCATGAAAACTGAATAAACCCGCTCAACCCAACCCACTACTTAAAAAAAATAATAAGAAAAATAAAAATAAAAGAAATAAAATGACTAGAAAAGTAAAAGAAATCTAAAAAGTATGAGTAAACAGTGTAAATTAATTACCTTTGTATATTTTAGAGGAGGAGTTTACAATTCTTCCCACAAGAAATGTAGTATAAGTTTACCATATTACGTTAAATGCACTTTGTTCTTTGTAAACTAAACTAATGAGGATTGAATAAGATAATATATAATTTTATTTATTTATTTATTTACTTACTATTTAATCTTGTCTATTCGAATTTAGTATAATAAAAAATTGGATGACTTTAATTTTTGTTGACAAGTCGTCCCAAACTGATCAACTCAATCCAACCCGACCGATACTTGATTGGGTTGGGTT